TAATTTGCGGTTTCAGCTTGCAGCCCAACTAATTAACATATAAATTTAGAGGTGTTGCACTTTTGTATTTATTTATGAATGAAGCTGACAGAGACAAAGAGATGGCAGGTCGTGGAGGTGGAAGAGGAAGAGGAGGATGGCAAGTGGGAGAGTTTCTACTGCACTGGAAAAAACATAATTGAAAAAAAGTAAAATAACTTCTTTCAAAAAATAGAAACCTTATTCAAGAATCTTAGAACCATTTACCAATTTTTATTTAATCAAGTTTGGGTTATGGGTTTTTATCTTTGGTTGCTTTATTTTATGTATCTAATTTTTGTTTAAGTGTAAAAATCTGTTAAATGCATCTCGAAGTCGAACAAGCCAAGGTCGCCTTCAGTTCCGTTCAACTGCAACAGCAGCAGCAGCATCGACATCAGCCAATTGCAGCTTATGGAAAAGAGTTTAGCCAGCCAAGATTTATTGGCATGTTATTCTAATTGCTATTTATTAGCGGTGGGAGACGACGTCGGCAGAACTGCGGCAGAGCAGCTGCCTCGCTGTCTGACAGTCAGTCATTCAGTTAGTCATTCCATTCAATCGTTCATGCAGCCATTTTCGAGCTGGCAAGCCGTCAAGTGTGCAAATTAGTTTGTTTGGCTTGATTTTTTGCATGTGCTTAACCCACTTGTTCGCCGTGTGTTCGGAATTAATCACCTCAAAAATAACTGCATATTTGTTATTTACTTGGCATATGTCAAAAAAAAAACAATGGCAGAGAATTAGTTGATTAAAATAAATTTAATATTTAAAATTTCTTATTTCCAAATTTTTTTCTTGGATCACAGTCTTTTATTAGTGATTCCCATTTAACACCTTTGAAATCGTGTTGGTTATGTAAGCCTTTTATGATTTCATTCGGTTAATAGTCCATCATTAGCACTCTATTAACAAGCACATAAAACTTCTTCTTTCGGTTGCAGCATCGTGATCGATTCATTTAGCGGTGATCGATCGATACTTTACGGCATAGTCATTAGTTCTGGATTACAGATCTTCCACCCATTCATCCGCATCACCCACATTCTCACCGGCAATTCATTTCCACTTCCATCCCATTTCGATCGGTACGCCCACCTATAGAACGACTGCAATCCGAGGCGAACTCAATCGATAGTCTCCATTCCTATCACCCGTTAATTGCGACTAATGAATTTGCTTACGTGTAGACGATTTTCAGTTAATATTCTAATTTGTTTTCTCCCCCTCGGGCGATTGTAATTAGTTTCGAGGGGAAATTACAAACGACTACGCATTCTGTGGGCGTTAGAAGAAAAAAAAAGCCGATTCAAAATAGTTTCGTGCTCTATTAAGATGCAAAGAGAACGGACCGGGTCGTAAAATGTTGGATGCTTATTTTTATAGCGGATTCTCTCGGCTATCAAAAGCCCATAAACCGAGTTTGGGTCTAAGCCAGACCGCAAATCGCAGCTATTACCGCTAGAGAAACCAAATTAATATGCAGCATTTCGTGTAATTCGCCCACCAAGCCAAAACACTTCCTTAATAAAGCCCAGGGAGACCGACCGCCGAGCCAGCTAATGCGTGCATAATTTTTAATAAATATTTTTCAAGATCCCCAGGTGCAGCAGCTGGGTAGTGAGACTGCCCGCAGAGGCAGGCCAAAAATGCTTCCTGGTTTAATTAATAAAACCTCAGAGCAGTCCCACTGACTCCTGGCCAACTTGTCAATCAACAACATTTTCTGAAACGGTGGCCAACCATGACCATGATGATTGTGATTATCAATTTCATTATCAGAGTCGGGGGACTCAAGATCAACCCGAGGCAAACACTTCCGTTTTAGAAGGGGGCTTCGTTGCAGGAGCAGGTCCATTGAACTCCCCATTCCCTTCCCCTCCGAAAGGCTCTTCAAGTCTCCTGACTCAATGCCTCCTCACGCAAAAGTCGTCATTATGAAAATATTTCCCCGCAAACCAGCATCTCCGGCAAAAAGCTTATCGGCTGCTGCTCAGCCAGCGCTTATGTTGCCCACGTGGCCGTCCGTCCGTTTGTCCGTCCATCTGTCCGTCCGTCGGTCTGTCCGTTTGTCCGTTTGTCCGTCTGTCGGTCTGTCGTCGCCGGAGCAGGTTTTTCCTTTCTGAAAATTATGCACTTTGTATGCAGAAAAGTTGGCGAGGCGATATAAATCTGCATAATTCCAAGCCGTAAGTTTATTGCCGTTTCCTAGCGTTCGGCGCAGGGGAGAAAGATGCTCGGCGGGCGAGAGTAAGATAGCTGGTATAAATAAAAGCGACCAAGAGAGTTCCCCCTTTTGCAAGACCCTTTCATAATCGTAATCAATATTAAGTTATATGATAAATTATCGGATACCAAATTGCAGCATTTAACTTGTCAAAGAAAATTATCGGAAATTATGCTAAAAAGGGTTTCGGAACTTCGGACGCTTAACTTAACTGTCGATTTGTCTTACGGGTAATGAGGCTGATCGGGGGTATTGGGCCGATCTGGGAGATAACCTGAACCAACTGCAATTAGTACAAGATGGAGAGTAGATTGATTCGTTTAAAAACGGAGCTGGCTTAAGTAAGATTGATTTATTACGGTGTGTAGGTTTGTGAACAGAATGGTTGGTGTATCTCATAATTTACTTGCACTCTTTACCACCCAAAAAGACCAGATGGAGCCAGAAAATCTAATCAAAACATTGCTTACAAGACACCTTGAGGCCTCCCAATCGAGTTCAGGTGCATGGCCAACGGATCCAAAACAAAAGCTATCCTAATAACGTTCAAACAAAAAAGTGCCAATGCAAAGAGTCGAGACAATAAGAAATTGGCTTGCACCTGCAGCGTTTGCGGGGTCGGAGATCTGAGGAGGTGGTTTCTTGGCCTCAGCACGTAATTGCCCCACTGGGGGGTACATTATGGTTGCAGAAAGGGAGCAGGGAACAGGGAGCAGGGGACCAGGGAGCTGGCATTATTGCTGCAGCAGCGGTTCTTTGTGGGTAACCCAGAGCCCAGAGCTGTGGATTTGCTGAAGGCCAGGAAAGGAGCCACCACTTGATGACTGCTCAACTGAGATAAAGAACTGATGGGCGATGGAGATATTTCCCAAGAAGCCGGGAAAGTTAGGCAACCTGATACATGGACTTAAGTGAAATGGAAATTAAGTCGGCGAATTACCATATCGAGAGCAATTTAGTTATGGCTATTGATTAGCTTTTTATGATGCTCTAAAGATTATGGGGTTATTGCTTTCATCAAAATTAAAGAACAATTAAGTCTCTGTTTTAATTTATTTTTTATTGCAATCATTTTTCATTTGAAGTTTTGAAGCTAATTAATTGGAAGCAAGAAACCCATTTTAGTAATGACAATAAGCTAAAGTAGAACTCAAACTTAGTCTAGCTTTTTCAAACTTCATTTATTCAATTACTTTGCACATTCGGCAAAAGAAAGTCACCGCTGAACTCCACCGGTTAGTTTGCTCGAAATTTATTTCCTTCCCATTCCGCTCGAGCACCACAATTAGCCACGCCCTCGATTCAAGACACTTGATGACTGCCTTGGCCGCTCGGCCGTCGGATCTGAGTGCTTTTCCAGCTAGCACAACAGCTCACAACATCCGGTTTGTGGCAGCGACTGCTTCTGCACAAATGTTAATTAAATACCTGTCCATCTATTAAAAAACATACGTAAATTTATGTTGTTAACAAGGAAGTGCGCTCTGCGCATGCGCACACTTTTATTATTATCATCAGCATCGCTGTCGTTTGCCGGAGTTTGAAAGAGTTGAACGTCGCTCAGCACAAATCAGAGGCAGTGTGGCCACCATTTGGCCATTTCTACCTGTCCCACATCCACCTGCCCCTCTGTCCACCATGCCAGTGCTCACTGTAACTGTTTGCAGCCATTTGCATATGTCGCCGAACGTTTGCGTTGCGGTTTTAACGATGCGCTGCTGTCGCCACGTCGCTACGTCATTCGCTAATTGGTCGAGATACAAATCGCCACGAGAGAGTGAAGTGACGACGTCGAAGCCCCCAGTTTAAAAGCCAAAGCCAAGACCATAACCAAGACCAAGTCCAAGTCCAAGTTCCAGGCTTCAGGAAGAGGATGAGGATGTGGAAGAGGCGTTGCCGGTATTGGCCGTCAGCTGATGCAACTGCGGGTGCTGCTGGCTGCAACTGCACTGCTATAAAAAGCTAACAAGCGGTCAATACATTTAATTATCCATTCACTGGTGGCATAAATATGCGTTCCTCATTTCTAAATTTTCATAAGTCAATACTTATTTTTGAGTATTTATACTTCGCTAGCTCTAACCATTATTTCCTACTTCCAATTGTGGTTTTAATCAAGAAAGATTTTTGAAAGTGTATCCAGTGCCAAACTGTCATCATTACCTTTTTGTATACGTTCCCCCTTGTCACCTTTCCCCTCGCCTTAAACCAGCGGCACTTTCTTTGCCAACCGTCCAAAAACAAATCGGTGGCTGTGCGTCGCCAGATGCTGTCAAATATTTGCTCAAGTGTTTCTGCTTTTCACACCACCCCGTCAACGCCACCGAGTCGCCACCCATGGCCACCCCCCCGCCACACCCCCTTCGGCTGGACAAGGTTGGCAATTTGCTTTATGGGATTTACTTGTAGTGGGGATAGGCGGTTTGGCATTTTTGGGAAAGTGGACATCGGAAATTTGGTTAGCCTTAATGCATTCAAGGTGTGATTTTTTTCTTTTCGTGTGCCCCCAAACTAACTGGTTGGCCAAGTGTGGAGCTCTCGGGATGAGGATCTCTCTAAATTGTCTGTTTATTTGAGAAGAGCACTTTATGGCAAATGCTTTGCTACATTTGCGGGGGTCATCATTTAACAAGTTTAAAATTGGTGCGGTATTAACATATATTTGGTATTGAAAAAAATATATCACTTAATTAAAGCAGAATACATCTTATTATTATAATATCTCTATTTAAATCAGTATTATCATAGAACTCACCTTTGTTCTGTACAATGGATTGCTAAAGTCCCAATCCGGCGCCACAAATAGATATCCGCATTTTGAGACCTTTCGCGATGCCTAAAGAAATTTCAAAAGAGAAACAATATATATGTTAATACGTATGATAAACAAAAGTATCGCATAGGACTAATAAACACATTTCAATGCTGATTTGTTACGGCATATAAATTATATAATTTTGGCCAGTACGCCTAGTGAGTTATGAAAATATTTTCTAGCTGTTCGATAACAAATGTTCAATAAATTTCATTAAAAAATGTAATCTTAATTAGCAAAACAAATTTATTCGGATGTGTGGCTGGCGAAAAATAAACGAAAAGGAAAATGGACGCAGTTATCATATCTCGCTTATCTCGCAAACAAAAAAAAACAAATTTAAATGTATTTTTAATTAAAAAATGCCAAATTTTCTTAGCCCCCTTTTGTGTTTGGCTTTAACGTTGTCTGCTTATCGGCAAGTTCCTTATATGTGTGTTTGTGGCGCACGTGTTACGTTAACTTTACCGCAACAAGATATGTACACACATATATAGATTTTACCCGAACTATTCGTCTAAGCCATGACTAATGTTAATGACGTGCGCCAATTTAACTGTCTGCGTGGTATTTTTGGCTTTTATTTTTTGGAGGGTTAAAGCAAATAAAATAAATTACAAGTAGAAACAACTACAAAAACCAGACCACTTGGCTGCCACACACTTGGTGGGGATCGATGGGGGGTGGTTGGGGGGTTTTGTCAGGGGTCTTGGCCTTTGCACACCTCTAGTCTAGAGCAGGCGAACAATAAGCGACAATTGGGCCGCATTTAAAGTGGATTTCAGTCGTTAGTCGCGCCCGCCATTAAGTTGCTGTCGGTTTCTTGTTTTCGATTGTTTTGGTCTCGTTTGGGTGGGTGTACATATACTCCTATATATATATATATTCTCTTTTTTTCCGATTTGACAAAGCTGCAAATGAGAGTGCCAATTGGGAGAATAGCACAATGCTCCCCGCAATTGAACCCAGCTGAACTGGCATTTAATTTGCGGCAGCTTCGGCGGTGGCCTAAGGTCGTCAATCAGCTACTAATTAAATTAAATAAGACAATCTTAAAATGAGAACAAAAATATCTAGATTGGGAAGCAAACATAAGCTCTATAGTGAACTGCATTTAATGGATATTAATGAGATGTTAGTTTACTTTAAAATAAACTAACTATACTAAGTATTTGATAATAAAGGTTTGTGTTTTTTATATTCAAATTTTTTATATAAGTTAGATTACTAACTAAACTCCAATTAAGACACCTCTAGGTGGTGACCAACCAACCCGAAATATTGGCTGGGATCCCGATTTTTGACTCGATCCCGACCGACCCCGATCATGTCTGGTAAGCTGACACCATAAAATGTTAACAAAACAATAAAATAGCAAAAACGAAAACCAAAGCCCAAAAACGAAATGTGTAATACGGTAGTTCCCGACCACTCACTCGCCTCCAAACTATCCAACAACTTAACAAAGTTGGCCGACGAAAAAATACCTCCCACTCCTCTTCCATGGAGGTCTAATCGAGGTACTCTATATATATTTTTTCTCGTTTTGGGGTCTCCGGCTGCCTGGTTTGCAATTACGATGGCTAATTTTATTTATCTGGTTTGTGTTTTTCTTGGGATTTTTTTTGTTGCATTTTATGATATTCTGTGTGTTTTTGGTGTTGTTGTTGTCGGCGGTGGGTCGTTTAAATGCGCCATTAACATTGATTTATGTGAAAAGTCGCACGTTTGTATTCAAATGGCCAAAGGAGAGAGAATGAGTGAGAGACTTGCAACTGCAACAGTTGCAACAGTAGCTACAATTTCAGCTGCAGTTGCAGTTGCAGTTAGCCGGTTGCAGTTCGCAGCTGCTGTCAGGCTTTCATCAGGTTAAGTCAGTCGACACGTTTTCCACATAAATTTCAATGGGTCCGAGTTAAGTTAAGTGACAGAAATAGGTTCAGGTTTAGTGGGTAGCACCTTCTAACGACCCGTTTGCGATCGGGGGCTCACACGATCACCAAATTGCGATCTACTTTTGTCACATTACGGCCACCGCTAAACTGCGCGACGTGTGGCGACTCCGATGGCGAAGTGGGGATCCAGAGTACCGTTGGCTACTCGTAATACCCGACCACGTAGCCACCAGCCCCGCTCTGCACTACACTCTACACTCTACCGGCTCTGGCAGACATTCAAACATAAATTATCAATGCCAGCCAGGTCGCTGTTTCGGTTGTTTGCAAAAATAAAAAACCTATTCGAGTAGTACAGGCGAAAAAATAGGAAAAATTCGTGACTAAATGAGTCACAATTGTCTTCCAAATTGTGCGAATTGTTTTTCATTTTCGGTGTCCCCCAGAAGAATTGATCAAATGTAACCAAAAAAAACTCTGCTTATATGGATGCTAATATACCCTCGGTCAGTAGTTTTTTGTATGTACAGCCAAACTTGTGGGAAAATGTTTATGAGGTCAACCATGCAACCAGATTTAGATTCTGGATAAAGCTTTACCTAATGAACACATCAAATAGTATATTAATTAATGTAAGCTATTTAAATAAAATCTAAATAAAGAGACGAAATAGTAACACAATAATGTTTTTGCATTGGAATGTATTGAGTAATTTTGGATTTATCTGAAGTTAATCATTAAAAGAGAATTCTACTTCTTATTGCCTTGTTACTTATTTAGTATCATACTTTCAGTTCTCAAAATATCTTCCACAGTTTCATTATTCTGGAGCCAACTTCGCAGCTGAAACCCAACCCAACTTCTGTTTTTAGGGTATTTCAAATCAAAACCAAGCCACATGCTGAATATTTATGCATCGCGCATGTCGCTGCTGACACACAAATGGGAGATTTTCAAACGAAAGGGGGCAAACTATGGGGAGTACGGGGTCTTTGCGGCTGCGCGTGCAGAATTTTGAACGAGCCGCTGGGAGGATGGGCGTGGCAACGCCCCCAGGCGCTGGCTAATGAAGCAAAGTGCGCCGTGCAAATGTGGACCGACTCAGACAAAAGCCCAACTGATTGATCGCGCCGAGTGAGTTACTCAGCCACAAATACGAATGCTAATGACAAATCAAAAGGTTGTGACTGTTGAGAACCGAGCTTGTAGCCGGGCTTCAAGGTAAAGCAACTTGTTCCCAAAAAAGTGTAATCAAAAATCATTAGCGAATATAAAAACTTTACAATAGCTTAGTTTTTTCAGATCCCTAATTGATATAAGTTTGGGTAAAAAGTATTACTTTTTTAATTTAGTATTATATATAAATTTAGTATTATATATAAAAAACTCGAAATGAACAATGCTGCTATAAAAAATGTTTAAAATAAACGTGAGATTCTTGTGTATTTAAAATCAAAGAAATCACTGTACTATGCACAACGAAATACAACTACAAGAATTTCAACTGAGAATCAAAACCTTGGCTACTTATGAAGGAATCACATACAGAACACACTCGATATGAAGTCATGCAAACGCAATTATGTGTGACAGACACAGGTAACGAATCTTAGCTCATACTTATCCGCAATATATGTGCAGTTTAATACTTACTGGTTCTGCCAGACCCGACGATGTTCGCTATTGCGCAAGCGTGCATGATACGAATAGAGAATGCATTCGGTTAGTTAGTGAATTAAATAGTTATAGGCAAAGTCATAGAAAGAGAGAGAGGGGCGGCGCTGGTGGAGAACCAAATGACTCAATTAGCCGCGGCGGGGAAGATGATGCCTCCGATGGGAGGGATGAGAGGCCTGGGATGAGAGGCAGATGCTTTTTGACATTTAGCCACATTCGAGATGACATTCAAGACGCTCGAGATGAAGAGGCCGAGCCCGAACTTACCCCAGCAGCAGCCGCAGCAGCTGCAGCCACCAAATGAATTTAAATTGCATGAGACCGACTTGTTTTCGATTTAATTTGATAAGAAACCCGCGGCGAGACGGGTCGTCGCATACTTATGACTGTGAAATGTCAAATCAAAAGTCACGTTTTTCACTCACTGCCGAGCGCACTGATTTATTGGCAGCGGTTGGGGCTATTAACTGAATCGCGTACCGCCGGCCATAAATCGAATCTACGATTCAAGCTCCACTTGCAGAGTTGTGGAAAATTTCACTTTTGCTGCCGCAGCGGCTAATAAGCCAAAAACCGATTGACAAATAAACAATTTGTGGCATCCCCTCCACATATCACGTAGTTTGTGCGCACAAGCTCCGATCCATCTGTACTATAGTATACGGGTTATATATATCGGGTTTAGCTAGTGAGCCCCGCACGCACACGTGGATCATGCCAAGTCCAAGTCAAAGTCAAGTCAAGTCCCAAACAAACCCGCTCCGGCATCGAGTTGGAGTGGAAAGTTGTTTGCAGCTTCAATCTCTTGAATCTCGTCGAATCTCTTGGGCTTTTAACTCAATTTCAGCCTGCTTTGGCGACTTCAGCGACTTCAGCGCTAGCTTTGTTTGTTTATTTATTTTTGTTTATTTATACATGTGTATTTTCAATCTTGCCATTGCAGTTGTTGTTTCGCTTCGAGTTTCTAAGTTGCGGCTTAATAGGCAAGCCGCACTAACAACAACAACCATCGGACAAACATCCTCAACCGCCGCGACAACAACCCCAACAACAACAACAACAACAACAGCAACCGACTAAATCATCATTAGCCACCACATCCATCCAGTTGGCCAGAGAGATGGCAACAGGTTTCCAACCCACCGCTAGCCATAAACAATTTTTATTTTTCTGATTACTAATTTCTGCGTAAAATTTTCAAATAGTTGTTTGAATTCGATTTTTGATTCAATGAAGCTATTAAAGTCAAATATTATGATTTAGTCACACGCTGAGTACAAGTTATGTTTAATAAACGTCATATGATTTATGTTCTTCAGCTTACGAAAAATCAAGCAGACTTCTTTATAAAGTTCTTAATTTTTCTGCTGCAAATTGTATATTTGCATTGATTGGAATAACAATGAACTTGCGGGGGAATTTGAGTTACTTCCGTTGAACTCGAACAAA